ATAACATAGAATGGTTTCATTATAATATAGAATATATGATGTACAAAATAGCTTAATATGTGCACATATAAGATTATTTGTCATAGGAGAATCATGGTTTTGTTAGGTGATGTTAAGTTGCTTCTTCCTTGGGTCAAATTTCAGTGACGTATTATATATAATATTAAATTTATTATCATATAATAAATTTATTATATCTTATTATGTTTGCAATAAATGATCACAGCTCCTCCTTCTGTGATATTAGTTTTTTGAGTCCCCGTGAGGAATGCTTTCTGCATTCCCTGTAATGGGAGGCTCACAGTTTCTTATGTCCTATCATGACTATCACCCCCAGAGATTATCTTCTCCTGCATTAGTATTTTGGTGTTCAAATAAAGCCCATATTGTCACTTAAAATTATACCCTCTCCACTTATTTACTAACCCAATTAAAGTTGTGTCTTAACTGCTCAGATCAAGACATTTCCCTGAAGGTCAACAGTCATGTTTATAGCAGAATTGATTCTTTTAGTTAATTCTTAATTAATTAAACTACCTTAGAATGAAATGTGAGATAAATCAAAATTGGTTTATTAAGGTTAGGAGAAAGTCTCTCAGAAGGTTCCGATAGCTTCTCCTCACACATCTTGTGAAAAGACTGGATTTCTTAGCCATCCATTTATCTAATTTGGAAATCCACTCCAAACATTTCACATCTCTTAAAAATGAGGTAATGATTATTTTAACTCCTTTTTGCAGAGCAGGGCCGTTCTCTATATCACATCCTATCTCATCCCCTGTCTACTTCATTCTAATTTCACTTATATAGTGATTTCTTCAGTGATACTATGGTACTCACACCTTTGGCCATTGTATCTAAAGACCACAAAACTTCCTTGTCAGGAAAAAAGCATGTTCTAAAACAGGGAACCTACAGGTAAATGTAAATGTCTTAATTCCAACTAAAATATAATAAGACATCCACAAGTTGTGGTTGTACCTGAGAGTCAATGGTAGATGGTAGTATAACTGGCTCTATGCTCTGAGACCAAGAGCTACCTGGTTTTCTTCCTAGAGCTGAGATGAAAATTCATTGCTCTGTAAACTCCTCAGAATCCCTGGGTGTTTGAGAAGGCAAGGAGATTTGATTTTGTTCTTACAACAAAAAGGCCTGTGTAAAGAATTCTTTTGTCTGTAACAATAGCAGCACTAAATCCTTTTATCTGAACCTGAGAGCCTGATAGAAACATAGAATTTGGAAGACAGTTCCCAAGATAACAAAATAGAGTCTTTAAATGGCATTGCTGATTTTTGACTTTTTTTTCAAATAGTCTCTTAAACATCCCATCCTGCAAATTTTGAACTTCTATTTTTCTCTGCTTGCTTCATCTTAACTATAAACAGTTTGTTGTTGTACTTCCTGCAAGAAGCAAAACAGAGCATAAAATAAAATGCAGCATGAAGTAAAATAGAGCACAAATATCTGCCTACAGCAAGTGAAACAGCATCTCCTGTGAAATTGCCAATTAACTTGAACTTTTATCAAATGCTCTCATAAAGCAACATCCCATACTAGCACTTATCACTTTTCCAGTTTCAAAATTTTGGGAATGAATTCTCTTAAGCACTCTCACCCTTCAATCTCTGTGAGTTTGCCAGCTGACAAGAGGCAGAGATATTGGGTTATCCTTAATGTAGGAGTAGAGTGTATTTTTAGTGAGTGTAAATTATTATATCTTCTTCCTCTCCTCCTCCTCCTCCTCCTCCTCCTCTTCTTCTTCTTCTTCTTCTTCTTCTTCTTCTTCTTCTTCTTCTTCTTCTTCTTCTTCTTCTTCTTCTTCTTCTTCCTTCTTCTTTTCTTTTTCTTCTTCTTCCTCCTCCTCCTCCTTCTTCTTCCTCCTCCTTCCTCCTCCTCCTCCTCCTCCTCCTCCTCCTCCTCCTCCTCCTCCTCCTTCTTCTTCTTCTTCTTCTTCTTCTTCTTCTTCTTCTTCTTCTTCTTCTTCTTCTTCTTCCTTCTTCTTTTCTTTTTCTTCTTCTTCCTCCTCCTCCTCCTTCTTCTTCCTCCTCCTTCTTCCTCCTCCTCCTCCTTCTTCTTCTTCCTCTTCCTCTTCTTCTTCCTCTTCCTCCTTCTCCTTCTCTTCTTCTTCCTCCTCCTTCTTCTTCTTCCTCCTCCTCCTTCTCCTCATTCTTCTTCCTCCTCCTCCTCCTCCTCCCCTCCTCTCCTCCTCCTCCTTCTCCTC